AGCAACAGCAACTGTAATCGTTATATAAATAAGTTAAGTGCCATCGAGTCAATTGCAACTCATAGTGACCCTGTACAGGGTTTCCAAGGAGCAGCTGGTGAGTCTGAACTGCCAACCTTGTAGTTCAACCTTGCGGTCCAGTGCTTTATCCGACAGTGCCACTCCAGGACTGTTATATAGCTAACGTTATATGAAGGAGCTTCAAAAAGTTCATGGCAAATGCAATTAAAGGATAATGGAATTTTTCCATGAACATTTTGGACCCCTCCCCCTTGCATAACTAATAATTATATAACTTTTTACTACAAAATTATATAACTAGTTCCAAAAGGAAACACAAATTAGAAATGTGTAAAGGAAACATCAAAACAATTCCAACTAAGAGTTGGCACTTTCTTAAGTTATCATTGTTTATACTTTGGAAACTACCGAAGGGCTTGTCAAAACTCTCTTGCTTGTGAACTCCTTATGTTTGCTGATTGATGTATATTTGACTTACTGTTTTATCTAAATGAAATTAAGGAAGATTGCACAGTAAGTTCTCCGAACAGTCTGGTAGTAGGCTACTTTGTAGGACCAGTTTTTTTCTAAATAAATAAGTGGGTGTATTCTTATAAGAACATCTCAAGAAAACAGTGACACTTTCAACCATGTGTTTACAATACAAGATGAGTGAGCACCACCATGCTCTAAAATAAAAGCCAGTCATTCCAGAGGTAATGAGCTCGTGAAACCGATGTACACAGAAGTGCACTCGTCAATTGGTTTGTACATCATTTTTTACTTTATAAACTTCCTGTTTTCACTGCATTGTGATTCCATGTCAAGTGTAACAATTATCTTTAGAAAAACAACAGCCCAGCTCCTCAGCTTTGAGCACAAAAACACAGAATGTCTTGAAGCACAATGAAATTGATTTCATGTTGCTAATGAGAAAATAAAAGTCTATTTTGTAGTTTCTTCTGATTAGATTTTCTGACAATAAAATGGATTCTCCCTGTTTAGAATTTGCCACCTAAGAGGCTTGTGGAAGGATTCTGCTAAGCTTCTTCACTTTTGCTTTTTTTTGTTCCTTCCTGTAGTCACTTCCTCTAAACTTGTGCTCGTCCTTCATCACAGC